GCTATATAAAATTTCTTTTGTATTCACCTAAAAATATTTGGGATTGTATTCACTAAGATAATCAATTAATAGCAGCTGATCAGCATTTAGCATACCCCCTTTATTTACTAATCTATTTGCTTTTATATCAGGTCAGGTTGCTAACAATAGAGGTCCCCATCTAAACCTAGTTGTGTTGGCAGCAGATATGCATGCATTAGCATATAAACATGCAGACATATCTTTGAAACATGATTATTTTACCTTTGTAATCATTTGAAGCAATACAGCACTGGGCCTCAACATAGCGCTGCATACAAATAACAAATTATAATATTTTAAGCTGGCATAAACAATGCAATGCAAACCAACCGTTAAAAAGGTAACTGATTAATAATATAAGCTATAATGTTTCAAGTGATTTTCTTTTTCCATAATATATACTGCCAAGAATGCCACTGGACAAGGGTGTTCATTTGTTCTTCAAGATTGGGTGATAGCAAAACATGCAGTATAGACAGGGAAATCATTCTGTGTTTTGACTTTGTGGTGATGGTATCAAAAAAAGCTCCAATAGCATGGAAGTACAAGCTTTTTCTGCAAAGCACCAGAAAAGGCTTGTGCAGAGTTGTAGCTGCAGTGACTTTTTAGCCACCACAATGCCAAACTGGCTCAGCACTCACCCCAAGGTGATTACTGTGCAAAGAATGACAATCCTTGTACAGTACATGTTTGATTTCATAAGGAAAAGAATGGCGTTTCCATGACACAAGGATGAACATCTAGTTGTTTTTTTTTCTCCCTTTTCCTTGAATGATGATTTTGATTGAAGACTGAAATTTAAAGCCATTCAAACAAACTTAACACCATAGGAGCGTTTTGTTTAGGAAAAAAGTTTACTGTGAGAAATGAAGACAAATGCTGATAGTGGAGAACCATAGAGCTGTTAGCAGTTCAAAACAGACCCAAATGTAATCTGTCTCATGCCATACTTACCTGAAGCCAGCGAGTAGAATCGGTATGATCAAGTGGAGCTCTCCCACTTCTATTTGATACCTGCAACCATAATAGAGGTGCCCCAAAGACATCAAGGTTGTGTTTAGTTTCATAAAATAGTTTTTTAATCTCTATCTCTAGTTTTCTTATATATTCTAAAGAGATTTTTCTGTGGAGAAATAAAGAAACATGTTTATTAGACACAATTTTTCCAAAATAGAAAACAAGGACCTTGTTTGGCATAAATTGAAAATATTAAAAGGAATGACCATAAAACATTAGATAAATCAAACAAGGGCCTTGTTTTTATAGAGAAGAATTTGGAAAACAACATTTTGGTGATCTCCAATTTTCCAAAAAATTGGAGAATAAGAAAACACATGTTTCTAAGAAAACAATCTTTACTCAATTAGTAAACATGTTTTCTTTAGCTTTCTATTTCTAGTAAAATTTTCCAGGAAGTTTTGAAGACTCTCACAAGCAAACACAATCCAAACATTTCACAAACACCAAGGTAAGAAGAAAAGGAAGCCATGCAGATTCATTTAAAATCTTATTTTTCCATGAACTCGACAACGCTGCAGAACATCAAATCATTCGCTATGAATTGTGAGAAAATCTTATGGGCGGCAGAAAACAACTAACCTGCCACTACATGGTTTCATGCTTTTGAGAAATTGAATCCTAGATAAGCCAAATATTCTACTAAATAAGCGAGAACTATTTCCTCCATGGTATATAAACTGTGAATGTTTTGATAGGAACAACATGACAATTTATTTATAACTCAAACAAGACAAAGTCTTCACTTAGATTACTTCTTGTGCCATGTAACCTTGCATAAATATGACAAAGTAAAACTTCATACCAGCTCAACAAAGCCTTACTGGACTTGCTAAAGCGAAAAAAAAGTCAGCATTCATGAAGATGAAAATGATTTTACCGGGATAGAAGTGAAACATGATTTCTCACATACTTGTGAAAGAGCGAACGTCATCCATAACAAACCTGTGAAAAAAGTGAAATAACATCCTTGGCAGCAACTCCCAGTTCTGCCAAAGCTACGATAGCCTCGATGACAAAAGGGCAATGCCTGCCAAAAATGCACCCACAAGAAAAATATAGATCAAATATAATAATCTCTATAGTATGAATAAAGGAAAAAAGAATTGCTAATTTGACACAAATAGGTGAACAAGCATGTACAACAGTTTGTAAGTCACTGAAAATGTAAGCGATAGTAATTAAAAGAGGTGAAAAAACATATTGAACACAAGTACACAGGAGTCCACAGAACCACAATATGTTAATTAAATAATCCTGAGGCAACAAGTTTCTCCAAAATTCAATCAAGTGAAACCATCATCAGAAGCACCATATTTGTTTCAGGACTCTCCAGATATGACATAGCAGGGCTAACAGAAATCATACCACAAAATTTATAAGAAAAAGATTAGCAAATATATATATATATACACACACATTTGCTTATCAAGTGGGTGAATCTAAATTCACATAAGAAAGCAACTCGGTGGATGCAAACTATCTTAGCTAGTAAACTTCCCTGGTGTTGGACTCAGGACCAGGGATCAAATAGAGTATTTGGAATTTAACCAAAGGGGAGGCTACCACTTCCATCCAGCCTATGTAACAAAAATTGCAAAGCAACTTGACACACCTTAAGCACTCTTTGTAACAAGTGATAGCAAGGCGAGTATGTCTAGAACTTCTATAAAGCTTTGCCATCAATAAACTCATCTGCAAAGTTCTTGCCTTGCTAGGAATTCCTTCCATCTTCAAAATAAACAACCTAATTAACTGAAAGCAAGAAATTATTCATAAAACAAAAAAATACACTACATAAAAAGACCTCAACAAGTGCAGCTCTAGTTTCATTCAATGTGGTGTGACATGATGCGATCTTGAACTTCACCTACCATTGAGACAAATAAAACTGTAAAAATTCAAAATACACCATACCATGGTTGCGTTTGATTATTGTTCTGGGATGGAAGGCATAGATACAAAAATCGTGTTTAGTTGAAGAGACAAAGACAGAGATGAAAAAAATGTCTTAGATATAGTTTTGGAGTAAGTTTTTGTAATTTCAAAACAAGATGTACTGAGAAACTTGTCCCTTTATCTCCACTGTCTCCATCCATCTTTTCTTTTCTAAGAAAGCTATCAATCAATGTATGTGTATAAAAGAGATAAATCAATGTACCTCATTTTCATTAATGGCTGAAATGTTAAAGGAATTCGGAGAAGAAGACCTGTTCGATAACATACTTCGAGAAGTTGTCGAACTCTGTTTCGGAATTATCTTGTAGTAATGCAATGCTTGCTTATACGTATGCTATAAAAAATTCATAAGAAAAAAAAAATAAAAACGCAAAATAATTAAATTCCAGATTCTTCAAATTAAAAAAAAAAAAAAACTCACAATCGCTCTGCGAAACTCTCTCTCGCGAAACAATGCATCTCCAAGGAGAATCTGAAAAAAAAACGTAATCACATAAAAAATATTATCAAAGTTTTAAAAATAAAAATAAAAATGAGAAAAACCTGATTTTCGGCTTTGAGCTGAGGGCTGGTTTCCAGACTAACTGTAGCTGATGAGACCAGAAAGCTACCCTGCAAAAGCGAATTATGTTTTTATTTTTTATTTTACTTTTCAAAAAAAAAGATGAAAATGTAGTATTAATTACGAGGATTTGAGCGGAATTGTAGAGTTCGTGGTCGAGAAGAGCTGTGATTTGATCCTTCGGCACATCCATTTTTTAACCCAAAACCAGACGGAGAATGAAGCTCTAATTTGTACGCAATGCAATGCGAGTACTGTAAAGAAGAGAGTGTGCTTTTGGGGCTGAATTTTGGAAAGCCAATGCGTCTCCTCATGCTCTTCCTGGAAGGAGAACCCCAGCCCGCTCGGTTTAGACGACACGTCGTTTCTATCGTTTTTAAAATTGGATCCGACCCAGTGAAATGGGTGTCGTTTACCCCGACTTGTCTGGGCTCAAGAATAGCCTTGTTTTTATGTGACCCGACAGGGATAGGGGCAGGTTTTTGATTGCCCGACTTCTTTCCCTTGTCTTCACCAAGCAAGAAATGATTTTTTTTTATTTTTAGAATAGCCTTGTTTTTTTTTTTTTTTCTTCTTCTATAGTCTCATATTCGAGTTCTTAGTTGCTCATATAATGGCCACTCGAGACTTACATAGTTGTTAACTTCAGGGCCCGTGGGATTAGTCGTGATGCGCGCAAGCTGGCCCGGACACCCACGTTAATCTAAAAAAAAAGGAAATGATTTTTTTTTTATTTTTTTTATGCCTGTGGGATTAGTCGTGACGCGTGCAAGCTGACCCGGACGTCCACGTTAATCTAAAAAAAAATGATTTTTTTGGATTATTTGATGCGGATGTTGGTGGTTTGAATATATTTTAAAAAAATATTAAATTAATATTTTTTAAAAGTAATTTATATAAAACATTTAAAATAATATATTATTTTAATATATTTTTTCAATTAAAAAATGCTTTTAAAAATTATTCTACTCCATATTACCGATAAACATAACAGCTATGAATTCTATAAATATTGCAATGTTCACTAAAGTCACTTTTATAAATTTATTAATATGCAGGGTTAGGATAATTTTTATTAAATTATAAAAATATATATTTAAATTATAAAAAAAAATGAGTTTTTATAAACTCTCTTAATTCATAAATCTTATTTTTTTTGGGTTTGGGTTCATCAGGTTTTACATCTATATCAAAAGATATTCAATAATTTCAAATTGATTCATTGATACAATAATAAAAGGCTTGTTGGGAATTATAACAGTAATAGCAGTTTTAAGTATTTTTTATTTAAAAATATATTAAAATAATATTTTTATATTTTAAAAATTATTTTTTAAATTAATATGTCAAAAGAATTTAAAAAATAAAAAATAATTTTTAATAAAAAATTTAAAATTTAAAAGAATATGATCTCAACCGTTCCCAAAGGCTTTTGTACAGAAACTGTAAAACGGAGGAGGGCTGGCCATCACTATCTAGGCATCACTACCGGAATGGAATCGTCGTCTTCGATTGCTTCGCGGAGGTCAAAGAGGCAGAGTCAAGAGAAGTTCTTATCGAAAGTAATTTTGCCAGCAATACGGGGGCAGTCATGTCCAGTATGCTTAAAAGATTTTGGTGGCGAAGAAGATTACCGAAGAGTTGCGGTGATTAGGGTTTGCTTACACGCTTATTGTCTCGATTGCATCCGCAAGTGGAGCGATATCAAGCGGAAGTGTCCTCTCTGTAGTTCGGAGTTCAATTCTTGGTTCTGTAGAATCATTCTCTCCACTCGAAATTTCTCGACGGAGAAATTACCGGTGGTCAGGGAGAGCAGAAGGGTCACTCCGCTAGATATCTTGAGCTATAGGCAACGGTGAGGTTTTGTTATGTCCTATTATATGATGATTAAGTTGATATTTATGTGATTTAATTGAGATTAAATTTATTGTCTCTTTTTTTTGTAGAAATGTCAATTTTTTTGAAATTTTTATAAAACAATTACATGGAGATGCTTTAGATAAATTAAATTTATCTTCGTATAGTATGGCTCGGCATGATGTAATCAGAGAAATTTATTAAAAAAAAAAAAAACTTAAATTGATTTTGAAGATTTGAATCTAAAAAGAGCATGTCTTCTTTGTTTGATTTTAGAGCTGGATTGAATGTTGCTAATCGGAGAAGTAGGCCATTACCATGCCGGCGAAGATTTGGACAGCCAATGCCAGGATCTGTGGGTTCTGATGTTATTGCTCAAAGAAAGCTTCAGTGGCGTGCTAGGTACCCTAATTGACCTAAGTTTTGTTAATTTGAGTGAGGATTATTGAATCCGAACTATGCTTTTCTTGGTTGATATGATGCTGATTCCTTTCTTCTTCTTCTTTTTTTTTTTTTTTTTTTTTTTTTTTTTTTTTTTTTTTGCAGCATATATAATCAAAGATTGCATGCTGTTCCTATATCTTCGAGGAATTGCCTCAAGCAGGTATTCTCCTCAAAACCTTTATGAGGTTAAGTGGTCGTGTTCCGTTTTTTGAACAAGCACATTGGCAAAGTCATAGTTTTGTGATACTTTACTTCACTGCATGCACTTGTTTGCCATCTTTTCCTGCTATGGATTATGGTGGGTGCTTGCTACTTTTGCTTTCCCAAGTGACATGATGCATTGTTGTTTGTTTTGGAAAATTGATAGCTTTAGGCTAACAGGCTTTGCTGAACTCATCTCCCTTCTAGAGGAAATATTATGAACCATTTCTTTGTTTGTGAGAAAATTGGTGCTCGTTTGTTGTTAAAATTGTATTTTTCTTATAGTGGATTCCGGATCATTGGTTCAAGGCTTTGTCATTGATTTGCTTGAGGGTTTAGCATGGAAGAGGGTCGAATTCTGTTTGATTTTATTGTTTCTTCCTACTGATTCTATTGTCATGTTTTTAAACATTCAGATTATATCAAGAAATGGTTGCATGAAACAAAGGATACTGCACAGGATAGAACCATGGATTCAAAGGGAGCTACAGGCGATCCTTGAGGACCCAGATCCATCTGTCATCGTTCATCTTGCCTCCTCTCTTTTTATTGCAAGCCTTGAACGCGGGTCTGATGTTCAGTCAGATCAGCTTGGTGTTGAAGACCACTTTCTTGAATCACTGCGATGTTTTTTGCATGGTTGGACCCACACGTTTTGGCATGAACTTAGGTATACAATTCAAATACAATTGCATCATTTTCTGTATTTCAGTTTCTTCATTTTTAAGATAATTTAGAATTTACATTAACATTATAATGAGAAGAAAATGCTCTTTAGATGTTTTGCAGAAAGCTCACTTACAATGGAAACTTATGACATGGTGGTTGAATATAAACAATCAGACTAAGTGTGGAACTGGGACTTGGGACTTTCATTTGTCTTTAGCATCATTGCACATCGAGGAGCACTTAATTTACGCTAGGACCCTGCTGCCTGAGGCATCGAGACTGCTAATTGAAAGCTGTTTGTGGTTTTACATGTAATTCACCTGTATGATTTCTCAAACATTGACATTTTGCTCAATTGCATGAATAATCACATAGGGAGCTCAGCATGTTGCTGGAGAATGAGCCAAATTCTGTGGGTTAAGACCCTCAAATGGAGGGTGGAATGTGAGATGCAACATGGAGATGCAATGCTGAAGATCTTACCAGCGGTAAAAGTTGGAGCAGGGTTATTTAGGAAAGGATACAGAAATTATGTAATTACATTGAATTCGCAGTTTCTCAATGGTCTCCCATGGAATGGGCTGCTCTTCTTTATATCAAGGCAGGCGGGGAGGGAACGGGTTGTACAAGCATACCACCTGCTAGGTTTTTTCCTTGAATTGATGGTTGGTTTAATCCGTTTGTTGTTGTATGAATGCAAATCATTTCTTGTATCTCCAAAGAATATAAGTCTTGTGAGAATACCATTTGCTCTGGAAAGACTGATCATGTTGAATTGTTGATAACATTTACGCATACATCCGTCAAGCGTTTTGGTACATTATTCATCGAAGAAAATCACATGAAATCAACTGTTACCATTAACTAGAAGCTGAGATGAGGTGACAAATGTCATTTGCTGGAATCCTGAAAGAGACAGCAAGTTGTAGCCTCCATTGCCGTTGCCTCACCAAAAGAGAGGCATTTCAAAGATCTTAATATCTGGAAACAAAATAAACTGAAAGAACCGCCTGAATTGAAGATCAGAATTTTTGCCGAAGGATTTATTATCAGAAACTTGACAGTTCAACGAGATAGGCTTGGAAACACATCCAACAACTCTTTCTGAATTCTGAATCCAGAAATCAGACTGCGCAAAGGAACAATAATTCCAGTGCTTGCTTTTCACTATCAGAATGCGTTACTGTTATACATGTTTGCTTTACACTATCTGAATGCACAGCTGTTGCATCTTTTTACATGAAATTCGCTCATAGAGTTTACCTAACAGAGTGCGCGCACAAAAAAAATTAAAAAAAAATCTGTTAATCCCAAGGAAAGAAACAGATTTGTGTTAGTGCATGAATGGCTAGCTTCTAGATAGCAGATGTCACTCCTCTTCTGGTTCTTCCTCTTCCTGGAGAAGATTCTCTCTGTTATCATGGGCCCAAAAACCGCGCACGTCTATAAGCATGCTGGCTACAGTCCCACCTTGTTTGCAAGCTAGCAGATCAGCCAGTGTAATACTCAATGGGTCAGCTGGCTTGACCATATCCCATATTTCATCCCTCACATCCTCAATACACAATTCATAGTTCCCGCCTTCAATCCATTTCTGGTGTACATCCCTGTTTCAAAGGTAAATAAAATGTTCAAGAGGACGATGTTAGCCTACCACCAGCTGAAACTGTAAAATAAAAATAGCAATGACATCCCAATGAAGGTTATTGTGATCTTTATTTCAGTCTGATATCTAGGTTCATGTCTCTGAACATTTGAGGCTTGCAGAATTGCTTAAGCACTACAAGCAGGAAACCACAGAGTTTTCTCTAGGAAGGTTGTATCAGGTAGCATCTCAGCTCTTAGGTGCTCCCCTTCTTTACTTCCATAAGTTATTTCAAAATTGGTTGCTCGTGATGAAAGTTTTTGTTTCATAAACTCTTGGCAACCAAAGAAAATGATGAAAAAAATATTGAAACAATGCAGTGCAGGCTAATTTAAATGCTGAAAGAATGTTCACCTGAAAAGTGAGTGAATATCAGCAGTGGTAAGAAATCCCCGTCCTTGGAGATCAAGACAGCGAAATAAATATGTTAACCCTTCAGGGGTGTCTTTGTTTTCTAATGCCAAAACAAAGTCGAGAAAACTTTCAAAGTCCATTTCCCGAGTATTCCCTCCACCAATCTTTCCACGGCGGACATGCTCATCAAACACTATCAAAGCATAACAAACAAAGAATGAAAACAGCAATCTCTGGAGAAATTACATTCCCAGGAAAAGAAATCAAAAGGTCATAGATTCTGATAAACTAATTAAAACTCCTACCTCTTTCAATAAAGATTTCTGTCAGCGTACCATCAGCATATTCTTGAAGTTCTTGCTTGCTCAGTGTTCCGTTCATATCTTTATCAAGGGCAAGGAACATATCTACAGAGGAATGAACAATAATTATATACAACTAAGTTGGACTGCTCCTGTGCCAAATTACAAAATTTCCTGAAGCCTAATTCTTCATGTCAACACATTGTAACTCAATCAATCATTCTATGTCACTAACAGCAAGCAATTTCAATTGATAGACCTTATACAAACAGATGAGCCTTGAAAGAGAGACTCTACACTCAATTCTTTATTTCCTCTGCCCTGGACTCTAACAGCTATACCAATCATCTACCCTTATATTGCCATCGTCTTTCTATGATGATTGTCAAAAGCTTCTCGCATTACCATTAGATAATTAGATGACTACAAAACCTACATGCACATTGCTTTAAACTGCACTGACTTCTACTTGATGCTTAATCTCAGAGTTAACAAGGCTCATAAAAGAATGCATGCAGGGAACAATAGAAAAGGTAAAAGGTAAAGGGAAGAGTTCGGGCAGAGGGGAGAGACGGGAAACTATTTAAAAAAAAAAATCCACCAGATCAAAAGTAGTTTGGAAACAAAAACAAAGGGACTGCAAAAAATTAAAAGCACTCACCACATATTCGTTGTGCAGACATCAAAGAAAACCAATTTTCTGCTTGTTCAGTGTCAGTGACTTCCTCCTCACTTTCCTATTTATAGAAAAAATTTAGAACCAAAAAATGGATCCAAACCAAAATATATTGGGATTATTTACACAAATTAGTGTCTTATACATCTTAACTGGCCAAAGAGAACAGACAAGGCAGGCTACAAGGCTACAATGCATTTAAAAGCTAATTATTCATCACATAAAGAAAGCAGGCAAGAACTGGGCATTGGGTGCGGGTGCTCCCCTGTAACAAGCAATGACAACATTCAAGTCAATTGTGTTTCTACAAAAATCATCTCTAGGAAAACAAGTTCCATATCCCAGTGTTCCACTGTACTCCAGAAGATGTAGCAAAATTTTTCTTTTCAGTATTGATGGTAATGTAGTAGATAGAATTTGAAAGCAACAAATTCATGTATCTGACAGGGTATTGTTCCTGAGCTGTACGGGTTCTTATAAGATTGTATTCATTAGATATGTCTTTTAGATAGTTCCTAATTTATCTTGTAGTAGAACTCATGTATATATACAGCACATGATACAGCAACAAGACCTACTGGGTTTTCCTCCATATTTCTGTTTTTAAACTTTCAGGATGTTAAGAAAGAATGTCCAAAATTGCTGCAACCTTTTCATTTATAGGCATAACCACGGTCATGGAAGAAGGAAAAGAGAAGGCACAAAACAAATGGAGAATCAAGGAAAGGATTTTAGTGTCAGAAAAGAAAAGCAAACAGGTGTAAAACTACTATCAATTGTCTATCCATGCAACTAGAAGTTCAAACATATAAATCCATAATCCACCTGGTGCAGTTCCATCAATTCCTGGAGACAGTTGCTAAGAAGCACCTTCTTTATGCAAGATTTCCCTGTAAAGAAAAACTAACTGTCAACTACTCTGAAATGCCAGTACAAAGGAAATTCAAAATTCTTAAAAAATAAATAAAAGGAAAACCAGGCGAGAAGAGGTAACAATTAGGCCATTTAGATCTTAATTCACCGATCCCCTTCCATTCACAGTGACTAGAATTCCATACATCAAACTATCTTTTAAAGGACAGATTGGTATATGTGTCAGTTTCCATTTCAAGTCCCAAAAGCTTATGAAATTCACTCTTCAAACATTTAGGTAATAAATATTATCTTCAACCTTTCAAGATATTTGCAGACGTTTATTATCAGCCTAGGTCATCAGCAAAATAAAAACATCTAATGTACAACAACTAAAAAATTTGAAACCCCTTCCTCACTAAAGTTTAATTTCAAGTATTTTTCTAGCTAGTTAAGGGGAGACCAAGAAGCACAGATACAAAAAAGTTGAGTCATACCCTGTATTCTAATAAAACATTTAAAGGGAGCGCACAGGTTATGGTAATGAGCAAACATATGTAATTACTGCAACAATCAAATAACAAGAATGATTGCATAAATGAAGGAGACATAAAATATAAGTGCCAAATAACTGGAAAAAGAAAAACACTGCTGTAATGAAAGGGTAGCCATGCAAACCTCGCCTATGAGGATCACAGAAGAAAAAGAATTTGTGAGCAGCTATGCGACAATACATTTGAATGAATGCAACGGGCATATCCCTTAGTTGCGCTAAATTAGGGATAAGACCTCGTATATAAGCCTCCATTTCCTGAAAGAGGACAAAGCAATCCTTGTTTTATACAGAAGATTGTAAGAGTGAATTGCCATAAATAAGCATTCATAAAGATCTAATAGTAGGAGGACCAGATAGCGAAATGTGAGTGTTAAAATAAATGCATAAAGCCATACATGAGGCTGAAGAAATCCATCAGAGTCCTCGTCAAGCTCGCTCATATCAATTCTGGCCTGTGTAAGTGAAACCTGAACAACAATAAACAGTAATCAACACTCGCAAAGATTAACTTCAACAAATAGCTCAAACAATAAATGTGTAAATTCCGATACTTTAGAATTGTGAATAAAAGCATGGGACCAAAAAGCTGTACTCACAGTGCGCATCACATACAGGTAAAAGGGCAAAATGGCAATTCTTCCAGATTCATCCTTTTCAAACTTCATGAAATTAGATGGGCTGAAAAAGCGCCGGCATTTGGGGCCTATTTGCTCTGTACATACAGAGGCTATGTGACAAAAATCTTCATAATTCATCTACAACATGATAATCCCAGAGATAAATTAGGTTAAAGTGATAAAAATATTAGGCCATGGAACAAAACATTGTGGAATAAATCTAGCTTAACAAATGCATCTACCAAAAGCAAATACCAAGACATCACGTGACAAGCAACACTTAGCATAACTTCCCAATATCTGATAATGTTAAGCTAGGACATTCTTAAATGAAAACAAATGCAGATTTAGTAACTGAAATATAAAATTCTGCCAAACATATTAAAAACATATGGTGTAATGCCGAAACAGATTGGCACAGCAAATCTTCCAAACCTTTTCTGCACCAGTGGCATCATCAATCACACAATTTTCTCTCAAGCAAACCCACATTGCATCAAGATCATCAGCATTTAGTAAAAGATCTGATTGTTTCTGCAATAATCAAATGGATAATGTTACCAATGAAGCCAGCAAGTATATCCCCAGCCAACCAAAAAGTAACAAGTATAGCAAGCAGAAGTGGAAACACAGTACCTTCAAAAAACGATATTTTGCCAGCCTTTGAACCCTATGACTAATTGATCCTTCTTCAGGTTTCTAAGCAAAGAAAAAATGAAAACAGATAAAAGAAAATCAGTAAACGATAATGGAAAACACAAAAATACCATCACAATAAACAACTCAAAATCTAGCATTGAATCAACACAATTCCTCCATTCCATAAAATAAGCAAAACCCAGAATTTGTCCACAAACAAACGAACACACTGAAATCAAAGTTGTAAAGTAACATTCATGTATCCTAGTAAGAAAACAGTTTAACATCAAGCAAAAGAATTCCACCAACATGCCTTCTTGTAGAAACTAGGTATCGTACCACCTTCAGCACTCTTTTGCTGCTTCTCTTTGAAAATATCTAGCAATATTCTCTTCGTCTCGAGCTCTACATAATAAAACCCAATTTTAGATTCTAATTTTAGAAATGCCTAAAATATATCTGTACAAAAAAATAATAACTAATTATCCTTAATCTCTCTGCATCAAAGCATAGCACTAATCATGCAAACACTGAGAACTCTAATACAAAATTAAGTTAACATTTCACATTGATTGTATATTTAGGGCTACAGCTCCAATTTTGCTACAATTCCAAAAACACACAATTAAAATCAAAATA